ATGTTGGGTTGAATTAGCCTATGGTTGAATTGCCGATTTTCGACTTTCTTTAGATAATTAACAAAAAAACGAGAGTATTTGCTCGGTATGTTGAGAATATGTACACAGATATGAAAAAAAGTGAGAGAAACACTTTTTCATAAAAAAAATCCAAGATGGCTACTTCACAAGTCCCCGTGGTTGAAGACATTGGCTGACAAATAGACAGAACAACAAACAAAACGTGTTCCTTATGATTTTGGTTGGTTTTCGCATTTACGGGAGTGTTCATAGCTACGGGCGATTGTATAATACCTATATTTATAAGTTTGGTTAGTCACATGGTAACGGGGATCTTTCATATCGAGCCCCAAACATACTTTCGACATATGCACTCCGTTGCCGCATGGAAAACTATTTCAAGTTTTGTCGGAATTTCTTTACCTGTGGTTGTAATGGTCGAGGGTTTTCCAGCGTCCTGTAATACCCAAGGTAGTACAAGATACTGGAGATGTGCGCACACATTCCCATCGTTCTCTCTCCAACTGGGCACTGGCAGTAGTAGTCCTTTATTGGGGCCTCAACATCGGGTGAAACGGTGAACCGTATCCAAACGTTATATTTCGTTTGGCTTTTGTGTCGAGAATGTATTTGACATCGGAGAAGGTCTGGGGAGTGCTGGTAAAGCCACACCTCATAGTCTCCGTCATCACTTAAATGTTCGGCGATGTAACCAGGAGCCAGAGATATCTGATACGTTCCACACGTAATGGTTCTCAAGTAATCAAGATCGAGACGGGGAAACAGTACGGAAGATGCATCCATCTTGACAAACTCGGACCTTGCCCGTCTAGATAGATCCGGATCTGTCTTGACTCTCTGAGCTAAACCATTCGGTGTTGTCAAACGGTCCTTCATACGTTCAGCCATTAGCCTATCTTTGGCATCTCTCTCTGGAGATCTCTGGTAGATCGGTCCTCTAATACCATTCAGACAGGCTGTGACGGTTCGAAGCAAAGCCTCGATGACATTGATAAAGCTGTTAGACACCAATTGCGTTCGGAAGAACGTCCAGTGTTTCAGACGACCATGATAGGATTCCACAATCCACCTCGATTTGGTGATAGTTCTGTCAAGATTTGCTTGGACGTCAGAATGTTGACTTTGACCGGGTTTCAGGTATGACGGCATGCTAGCATTGAGGCCAGAGGCTTCGAGAACTGGTAGGACATCTCTAAAACCTCGGTCAACGACAACGTTGTCGTCTGGTTGTAGCCAAGTAACTAGCTTGTCCATGACTTTTTTTGTAATTGTAGCATCATTTTCGCTGCCAGTGAATGGTCCTACTGTGTCCAGAATGTAGCCATCTGGTAAGGCGATGCTCATGAATTTGAGATAGTTTCTCTTCTTCTGGCCACAGTAGGACATTCTCTGGAGCTTGTGGTCGGAGCTTTTCTGGATATAAATATAGGTGCCATCTAATATGGCAGTGGCTTTATCTCCAAAAAATGCTTCTGAAAAGACAGTATTGTGCCCGAGCAACTGTTCTCTTGTCAAGTGATCCGGACCTAGAAATTGTGGGACTATCGATGTGTCTAATGCCTGTACTATGGAGTGGAAAGTTTTGGACACACTTGACTTGGAAATTCCAAAAAGAGAAGAACACTGACTCCAGGAAATGTCGGTTTTCAGTTTTACCCAGAACAGTAATAGAGCATCGTGTGTAGTCTTGGTATATATACCAGATGAAAGATATGGGGAACAGTGCGAGTGGATTTCGAGGAACTGATCTTTGGACCAACCTGTCCAGGCCATGCATGCCGAGTCATCAAGAGAAGAAAAGCTTATTGTAAACGCAGACTGGTTCTGTGAAAGGACGTGCGACACCTCTAGGAGGTCATTAATGATTTCGGACGATTTTGATGGTAACTGAGATTCCAAGGAACCTCTACCATCAAGGACAACCTCTGTAGACGGATCTAAGTCGTTACCAATAAGGTGAATGGAGCAGACGCGGGATGAGGTGGGACACCACAGTTTGTGTGAATAGATCAGGTGATGTCTTGCACGTTTTGGTAAGACTGATGATTTTGTTCCATTTCTTGCAAAGGTAACAAGACAGAGACAGCATTTTTTGTGTGAAGATGATCCATTCAAAAGATCATGAAGGGTCAGCAACGGCAGGATATGGGACGGGGAGTCGTCTTCTTCCTCTATTTCCTGGTTCTGCTCGGGTTCAGGTTCAGGCTGATTTTTGTTCCGAAGATACTTCATGTAGCACTTCTGGCAAATAAGTGCTTGTTCCTTTGCTGACATCAATCCTTGTTGCACCAGCGTATCTAGGAGCCATTTATATTGTGGACTATTTACATTGCGTGCACTTCTGTTCTTATTGCCACTACGTTTCTTGAAGTATACTTGACACCCTTCTCCAACACATTTACCCTCCATCTTGAAACAATAACGATTGGTTTATGAAGCGTCGATAAAGTAACAAAATAGCAAGCCACCGATGATTGCTGTAAACAGCTAATACTTAGTAGTTTGGTACAATTATGCGAAAATGTGTGATAAATAACGAACAACTAATTACACAAAATAACAAGACAATATAATAAATCACATTCAATACCTCCAAGAAGCGCAGAATTGATTGATTACTTAGAACAAAATAAAGTATTTCATATGGATAATCTATCTATTCGATGTGGCGTGGTCGGCAGGCACAAAGAAAGTGAGACAAGTCAGGGTCCCAACCCTGACAGAGCCACAACGCTTTGGAGATGGGACAATAAAACAAGGAAAGTGAGACAAGAATAGCTAGCGTCGAGTCAATGATTCCGTAAACGTATAGACAAAGACAAGAAGATACGGATAAATGTACAAGGCCACACGATCAGAAAATTCAGAAGAGGACAACTTGAGATAGAACAGTATTCATGTATCAGGGTGTCCTCAGTGTAAATCTTTATATCGATACTGTTTATTTAGTCGTTACACATCATAAAACTGTCATGAAAATATCCGCTCTGATATTCAATATAAAAGTTTGTATATAATAAGCTATATAATAGGGTTTCAGACAAGGTTGTTACTCATTTCCCCTTTTCTTTCAATTTACAACCACATTCAGGCGGCGATATGAGAACGTTCCACCACATGGAATTAGCTGATTTTTGGTACACATATGAAACAAGTAAAGCTCTATCCGATTTTCTGATGGAAATTTGCATCCAAAACTATATAACGGGAGAAAATTGCAATTTTATGGCATTTTTCTTCATAATTGTGTCTCTGCAAGTGCATTTTCATCCGAGAATATTTTTTTTTATGTTTTATGAATAAACACGATGCCTTGAAAATATTTATCAAAAGAAATTTATACTACATATGTATGTTGCGAATTACAATTTCGAGATAACCTTCTTTTATTTACGAACTTATGTCTTTGATGCTGAAATTGACAACTTTATAAAAATACATTTTCACTCAAATTATGAAATCTGGGTGTCGGAAAGGTGTAAAATTATTCTTCGGAAAAAAACCCAGTAGTTGAGCTAGATAAGAAATTATACGGGGGCAGGCTCCTATGGAGAATTAACATTACTGGAAACAGGCCCTTTTCTACTTTAATGGTACCAGACTGGGGCAGATACATCATGCTAGATTAAGAATGAAGTGTAGTTCCCTTAAGTTTTATCTATACCAGATAAATCTTATTGATAGTCCTCTGTGTTCTTGCATGCAAGCAAATGAAACCAATGAACATTATCTATTACATTGTTGTCTTTTTTCTCAACTACGGTTACATACATTTAACGAAATCAATCATCCACTCTCAACTGATTTACTTTTGTTCGGGAATAATGAGCTTACAGATGACGAAAATGCCTTATATTTTTCATCTGTACAAAACTTCATCATCCATTCTAAAAGATTTGACTAAGTTCTATTCATTATACAACGATCCTTTGTTTCACATCACCTATTTCTTCTCCTTCTATTCTTATTGGCACGGGCATCTATATCCCCCCATCCCCCTGTACCCCTTTTCTTTTACTCTCATTTCAAATATCCCTTGAACTATGTTTAAAAGTAAGCTACTGTTTTAAGTGTTTATATTTCTTTCCATAGAATTCAGTAACTATACCATCATGCCCTAAATTAATGAGATACATTCTCGGAAACGGATTTATATAAGTTATTTCAACTTGTTTCCGGATCCCATTCCTCTGTACTTTGCATGTTATGTGATGTAATGCAACCTAATTTGGAATGAAATAAAGTTTATATTAACCGACGTTCTATAGAATTTATGATAACTCGATGACCCTGAGACGGAAAACTATGCACGTTTTATTTTAAAAAAACCCAGATACTGAAGAACAGTCATTGAATAAAACGTAAAATGCACGGAATGCATTTTTACCATAAACCTCTCTGTTATATAATTATTAAATTTTGTGTCAAAGGGAAAAAAGTTAGAAAGGAAAATGAACATATTTTTACGTCTTAGACTGCACAATTTCGCTCCATTCATATTGAAACAGGTACTTGTAATTTTATTCCCGGTGATTGGATTATTGTGAATATAGTTAAAAATAAGTAAATAAAATATTACAGTTGAGCCTGTGTTATTGTATAAAGAGCACGTGGTAAATAGCGTTCAGCTGTATCAATGAACCCACAAAAAGAACTCGGTACATAGTAAAAGTACGTAGTCAAGAATATTCAGAACGTAGCCAAATAACTCAGTAGCCCATAGGTTCGTTTCGTTTTATATGCATACTGTTATTATACGACATCCATATTTCGGTTATGACATGAACTTTATGAAGAAAAAATGAAGTTGATATATACTTTTATGATAATATATCATAAATTAATTCAAATATACATATAATATGGGCATATAGATGAAATTTACGTATATCATTTGTTTTCGCCCCACATTTAATCAAATACGGATCGCTTTTCGACATACGGGTTTCTTAATGAGTGGTCATGTGACCATCATAGTTTGTGTTGTTGTGGAGAAGTTCGCCATCTTTGACAGCTCTACAATGGCCGAACAGTAATGTGATATTTCTGGATGCATGTGAACCTTAAGTCATGTCGTGGATGGTGAAATGTATGCCATGCAGTCGGAGGATTACACCAACTTGAGGTTTGACTTGGATAAGAACCGGGTCACATTTTCCATTCGATTTTATTCCCGTCCCTAGATTAGATGGCTGGTAAAGTAGCCAAGGTTCATGTAGCCAAGTTTCCAGTCCATGAATTTAATGCATCGTACCTAGATACAAATACGCCGGGACTGTGGAATATGGAACAAGATGAGGTTCTCGATCAGCTAAGTGATGAGAGCTTTAATAGACGTGTAGAGATTTTGGAACAGTTGCTAATAACCGTCAGGAGGAATGGGGGACGTTTACCATACACTGATCCACTTGCTATATTCAATGGTCTTTCCTTGTCCCTCGCAGACTCAAATTGGGACGTTAGACTTAAGTGCATACAACTTATTAATGAAGTCATTCCCCAATTCGGAGATGACTTGGACGTTTGCATGTCACGCATTCTGGGAAAACTCATACCAAATATCGGGGAGAGTAAGATAACTGTGAGGCGAGCTGTGATTCAGACTCTGCATGTTTACATGAAGCACACCAACAAAGTACAAGGTCTTTTGCGAGCAATTGTTCAACATGGGTTAGAAAACACTGACCCAAGGGTAATTAAAGAGACTGTGGTGGCATTACCGATGCTTTTTACACCAGACTTCAAACGTGAAAACTTCTACGAGATAACCCAGTCTCTGGCGAAAAAGCTGCTTGACAATGCATCTGTTGGAGATAACCTCCGGGATTGTGCATTAATGACCATGGACAAGATCAAGAATCTGGTTGGCGAGAGGGAGTTCGGGATTTACATTCAAAAACTTTCAACACCTTTGAAACGGTATTATTGTCAGTTGACAGGAATGGAGCTGGAATCTGATCCAATTCTATCCCAAGCCCCTACTCCCAGAAATTCCAAACAAAATGCATTTTCAAAACCTTCAAAACCAGACAATGGGAATCAACTTAACACTGGGCGTCAACAAAATGTTGAAACTTACGAATTTGGCATCATTCCTAGTCATGTTATGAAATCGATAAATGACCAGGAGAATTTCAAGCTAAGAGCACAAGGTGTTGAAGAACTAAAGTCGATAGTAAGAGAATTATCAAGTAGTGACGTGACAGGAAACCTCCATCCACACATGATGCCTTTCATTAGCTTTTTAAACAATCTCATGGATGATTCAAACTTCAAGATAACGACTGTCACTTTAGAAATACTGAATTCTCTAGTGGAAAAACTAGGGGTTAATGTAAAACAGTTTTTGCGACCACTTTCAAACATATTAGCAAAACGTATGGGTGATAACAAAATCGTTGTACGTCAAGCTGTGATGAGGGTGGCAACCAAGATGATGCAAAGTTACCAAGCAAAACCTGTACTCTCAGTGTTATGCGAAAACTTACAACATCGGAACTCACGAATTAGACAAGAAACATTAAACATTGTCATAGCAGCACTTTTAACTTTTCCTAGTTATGACTTTGACCTGCCCAAGATTTGTCAAGTTGTAGCCCCTATACTGACAGACAGTAAGCGACAAGTTCGACAAGCAGCACTTGAGTGTTTGGCTGTGATAGCACAGGCCATGGGACTAGGTAAGCTGCAGCCTCTTGTGCATGCTGTGGATGGTGTGGAACTTAGTTCTGAGGGAGAGGGAGTTATGACTGCTGTTCAGGCTAGACTAGCAAGACGTCAACTTCCTAAATTAAATTCAGATGGTCTTGTTGAATATGCCACTCCTATTCCATCCTCTGCTTCCTCTCGAACACCTGTTCAATCTCTTGGTGCTGATCTAGAGTGGATAATGGCAGTGGGTAGCACTGGGTCTGCCCGCCAGATATCTCGATCTGATACAATGGAGCTGGAATCTGTGACATCTTCTGCACGTTCAACTCCAGCAGTTATAGAAGCAGGGACACCAGCGACCAGCCGGCGGTTCATGAGTGCTGGCAGAGGAAGAAATAAATTACCATGGGAAGAAGATGAAGGGCACCGACAGGTAATATGATAGTAGAATTTGTAGGTCAATATAAACTTGATTGAATATATTAAATGCTGCAGTCTAGTCACTGAATTCAGGTAAGATGATTGTTCAGTGGTTTCATTTCTACCTGTAGGCTTCGGCTTTATATGTAAACACTATAAAGGTCGCAGTTTTATTGTTATGTTTGGATTTGAATGGCAGAGGTAAAGGTAAAATTGTTATTTGGTAGTTCCACCTTTGAAAGAACCTAAGATAATCCAATGTATTTCAACATAACGTTTCACATTTAAGACTTCATTTAGAATGATAATTTTTCCCAGTGTAAGGTGAAGGAGTCGTGTTGATTTGGCTGCACAATACATATTAATGTAATCTCAATACTCTGCTCAGGGGGAACAACAACACACATATTAAGCCCATATTCTTTATTTGCTGAAAATTGAACTCAATCATGGTCAACAAATACGTTCTTTCTTTTTAATTTTATCTTCAAAAGTCTTGTAACACAAAGAAAGACATCACGTTTGATGCCCTAGTTTAATGGTCTTTATCACATCATCATTTCACAATCACCGAAGCTATTTACATAAAGTTGTTTTACTTCTGAGGTTAGGTGATGGTCAAGTATTTAACACATATATATGACTAAACTGGGGTTTGTGGATTTAAAGGTAAATCCAGTCTGTGTGATGAAAGAAAAATATTCAAAGCACTTGTTGAGGAGTAGTGGGTATAAAAATACCTGTGCTTAACTGAAAATTTGTTGAAACATATAACATACTGATCAATAAAACAGTACTTCGACAAGTGTGTAAATAGAGAATAATACATGCCTTTTTCCATATCACACCCAGTATCAACCAGAGACTGTGGGCTGATATTGGTCGAGGGTTGATACTGGGTCTGATATGGAAAAAGATGTGTTTTATTCTGTTTATAACTTACTTTAATAAAAGCTACTATCTTATGATCTATTTTTCTTTTGAAATATTAAAAAACTAAAAATGTCCAAAAGGGTTGTGATACAGTTTGTGCGGGCTGATACAGGTTTTGGGATGTGATACGGCGGGGGCTGATACAGCTTTTGGGATGTGATACGGCAGGGGCTGATACAGCTTTTGGGGTGTGATACGGCGAGGGCTGATATGGGTTAGAGCAATTGTGTCGTATCGCATATATATATATACACAAAAAAAACATATTTATTAATAAGTATGTAATAAAACTTAAGAATATTTCCAAGCCTGAAAATCAATTGTTGTGGAGATCAGGAAAATGGATATGTACACCCCTACACAGATGGGGGAACCATAACTGCTCTGGACCAACTGTTAACCCTTCCAATGATGCCCAACTAGCTACTTAAAGCTGTACATGTACTGATTATGACCACTGAACTGTGATTTCCTGGCCATTGATTGGTTGTTTAATTTCAATACACCCTTGTCCATTGGTCAATCTACAAAATTCTGTGAGTATATATAGGACTTCAGATTCACACCTGATGTTGGATGCAGAGATGTGAGTGAGGACTAGATATATAAGTAATTACTAATTACTTCTGTTTGCCCATCAGTCAACCTGCTTGTACATTTCCAAACTAATCTATCTGAAATTTGACATGGTGATATACACTGATGTAGATACACAATAGGGGTTTAACAGTTTCTAAGGTCAAGGTCAAAGTTACTTAAAGTACTTGAACGGTCAGACACCTGTCAAGACCTTTGCTGACCAGTTCTTTCACATGATGCTTATTTTCATCATTAGGACATGGGTTAAGTGTTGCTTGTGCATCCCAAGGAAATTAACATGTATATTTTATGCTAAAAATGTTATAGTTACATGTAAGCCGGATCACAAGTGGCAGGGTATACGCATCGCATCGTGCTACATTCTGTGTCTAGGTTGTTTCTGCGAAGAAGCACTTCAAAAGTAGCCTTTGAGTGACCCCATCATCTGTAGACACCATCTTCATATATGTGACCTTTAGCTTTAGCAAGGGTACAAAACCCAAAATTATATATAATTATTATTTCAAGGCACAGGCTAACCACAAGGTCTCATTTACATTCAGACTTTGGGTAGTAGATATATATTGACCTGTCAATACACTTTTCAGCAAGGATTCAGAAAAATCAAAACCTGGCATGTCCTTAAATGACCATAGCTTATAAAAGGACGTAAAACACAAACAAGCCAAATCAGAAAAGTCGCTGACATTCATATATATAGTGTAACTGTTGGTCAGGTGTCTTACCTTTGACATATACCATATCTGATGTAATAAGCAAACTCAATGCAAGTGAATGATGAGTGAAATGTCCTTATTAAACATATTTTTCCCCTAACAACATACATTGTATTTTGGCCACAGCAGAGATGACATGAAGTCATCTTTGATATTTCAAACTCACCTGTTGATTTCCCCATAACAAAGTGATGTTAGTATACATGTACAGACATTATTTGGGAAAATTACTTTGGTTGTTATTGTTCTAAAAATTAAATTTATTTCAATTTAAAATGAATTGCTGTCAGTCAAGATCTTCCCACCATCAATGTCTAGCAAATTTTGACCCATTGATCATCACCTAACAATGATTGACATTTTTTTTATATATAAATGTATGAATCAATAATTTTGTTTAGAAGAATATTGTGTATAGTACAATGATGCTGTCTACACTTGTATGAATGCTTCACCTGGTTAGTAATTACATGTATGTATATATTATAGGGAGCTATATTTGTTTTTGCCTTTGTTGATAAAGCTACATTACAATGTTATATAGTTAGGAAAACTTACATTTTGGATTAATATGTATACATATACATACATGTGTAGCATTTAGGAAGTGAATTTTGACAAGATGTTACCAATCATTCATTTCTTAACCTGTTTTGTCATTTGAATATGATGTCATTGACATGAGCTAAAAGTGTATACAAGGGGTACCAGTACTTTTGTTAGTAAAATTGAGACATTGAAGATTTATGCTGTTCAAGACAAGCATGTCAGTTCTTTGTAGAAGGGGCAGTGCGCATGATTACATTATCAGGTTAAACTCACAGTCACAATTCAAAATCACAGCATGAAGGGGAAACCACATGTTGAAGACTATAAATCTTTGCTGATTCTTCAAAATCAACCAATAAGCAATTGAATAATTTGGTCGAAAAAGTTATAAGCTATTAGCAGTGAACATTTTAGAAACAAAATATAAAAGACCTCTTTGATTGAGATTGTTTGGTTTTTAGAAAAGAGATCAGATTTATTTTCTGAGTTAAAAAGTACTTGTAATTGTTTATCGAAAAGCTATTAATTAGTCATTTATGGCGAGGTGCATGCTTAAAGGATATGTAGCAGAAGTGGACTGGGTCGATCACTGGTGACCAGGTTGAGCTCAAAGAGTTTTGAGGGTGTCGGGTTTGAAGCCAGATATGGCTGTGCTTTCATCTCTTGCAGAATTGGTGAAGCTGCCAACCCATTTTAAGTACTTGGTAAATGTGCCGCAAGGGGGTTTCTTAACCTGAATTGTAAATAGTTGTGTATATTTAGGGGAAAAGACTTAAATAAGGAGGGAGAAATGTAGCAGAATTGGACTGGGTCGATTGCTGGAAACCAGGTAGAACAGATGGTAGAGCGTCGGGCTAGAGTCTGGAGGGTCCGGGTTTGAATCCTGGTCTGGCCATGCATAATTTCTCTTTCTCCTGTTACAGTTGAATACTATATGGAACATGTATACGATGGTAAGAAGCGACACTCCAGATATATGTACACATGAAACACACATGCATGTACACACGTGATTTATCATTAAAAACTCTTCATCAAAGGCATTTATGACAGTTAACTTGCAAATAAGGCGACAGTTTGTATGACACTCTGTTGGCAATTGTCTGAATTACGCCTAGTTGAATAACACAGTGCCTCTGTAATAACTAATACCTGTTAGGTCATGTGCTAGAGATGGGTACGTAACTTCTGAATTAACTTACAGAACGGGTCTGGGTCAGAGCCGTTCTGTGTCTCAAATCTGTCAATTATACAAAATAACTGGCCCTAGACTGGCTTTACACCATACTGGAGTAGTGGGCTTTAACGAATATAAATAAAATGTGTACTTTTGTACTGGTCTCTTCAGGTTGAACAATACACAATGCTGCCCCTCACAATGTGCCTAAGCAGACAAGTTAACGTCCCGATAGAGAAGACATTGTGAGGTTGACCTCCTATCTCACGCTAGTTGTAACTATAGGTGGTATTGATACTTTATTTTCCCACCTACATTGCATGACAGCTGCGATTCATTACAGGGTGCATGTATTACTGACACCTGTACAAAATGAGCCTTTACAAATTTGTGATCATGATCACCAGTTAATAAATTGTGTATGTCCGCAGTACCTATTCTAGTAGAAATAGTTTTGGTCTATTAAAATTTGGTTAAATGGGAAAAAAAATGGAACTGATCACTTGGAAATAGACTCTAGAAAGTGCCAGAATACTTCTGAAAAATTCCATGCCTCTTTAATGTGTACTGATAGGTTAACTTTAGGGACCATTCTCTCAGGAAGAAACTCAAATATTTGCCGAACCTTTAGCTGTTCATTTTGTCTTAAGAGGGATTAACAAGCATATGACAACAGCTTGATCAACATAGACTTTGGGAGGTTATTTATATGTACATAGAGTATGTAATGTACACGATGTTGCCCTCATACTTAAATCTGCTTGGACCACTGGAATCAAGTTTGAATATCGCCCGAATAGTTAATAAATAAGTTATTTACAAATCCGTAGTTAGAACTTGGCCTGGTTCCCTTCAGGATAATTTATTCAGAAATTTACATTTTAATATCTATAGAGAAATATTCACTTAAAAATATACAGGTATGGTTTTTAGTTGGTATGGATCCGAGCTTGAGACCTGCTGGGAAATGTGCATACTGATACCTTGGGATACATGTATGCACTGGTTGTGTTTACCGTCAACAAATAGACCTCAATTATGGTTTAAGGCTTTCATGGTATATCTCCTATATATAATATGCATCTAAAAGGTGACAGGGATTTAAGAAGCTTAGTATGAAAATCAAATATGGTTGAATACACTTTTCATACAGAACTTGCTTTAGAGAGTGTACATTGGCTTTTTGCGTATTATACACCATTCTATTCAACAAGGAAATGCGATAGGGTGTGTGCCCCGATCTTACTTTTTCAAATCAAAGACGACTGACGTATATATGTATTCATTAAGATTTGATCAGGGGTCCGTCAGTTTGTACATACTGAAAGGTAGCTTGCGGATCGCACAGTTCTAGCTAGGGAGAAGGAGAAAGGACATCTCTGAGTTCTGATAAATTTGATATACATGTAGGAGTCGGACTGACGATTAATGTAATTGTGTGAGCAAGATGACTGTGTACATTTGATTTAAATGTAACAGCGCTGCAGACGTTTGTTTACTCACAAACATAGGCTAACAAACATGGGCTTCCTCGACACCTGGTCCTCGCTAGGTGTGGGGACTTTATATGTCTCTGCTGTTGTCACAGGGCGCCCCGTAAGTACCAAAACATTTATGTGTTGATAACAAAGACTCGTCTAAGCACTGAAAAGCCTACGTCAGCCAACATCTTAAGGTCATCAATGTATTGACAATTTCAAGTATGTTCTCAGTTCTTTTTTTAGATGTTACAATGTTTTTGTCTTACCATTTTTTTAGAGTTAGGAGTCTAATATACATGGTAAAAGATATATATATATACATGTACATGTATGATTGCGGTAATCCTAGTGTTTGTGGTATTTGCTGCAAAAATGTTTAAAACAGATTGCAGTAAAGTGGCTAGTTTCGCAAGCTTTCCATTTTCAATAGAAAATTATTTCAATTTTGATTTTCAAAATATCACAACTTTATTACAAAAAAAATATCACTTTGAAGGGGGTTTGTTGCGGTAAAAATGTAACAACAATCTTTCTAGAGATGTGTGCACGTGTAAAATGGGCAAATTTCTTTACAGTACATTAGAAAAAATCAAAATATTAATGTTTTAAAAAAAATGTTAATCAAGAACTTTGATGATTTTGATTAAAACATTTATTTAGACTGATAGTTTGTTTCTTGAGTTTTATTTCTTCAGATTTATTGAAAAGTTTTGTAAAAAAACATAAAAAAAAATGCACTAACATGTCAAATCAAAGCCAACAGTGAAATACAGGACCTTGTATTTATTGACTGGACTTAAACTTTTAGAAAGAAACTAAAAACAGTAAAAATATTGTTTGTAATAGCCCTGATAGGAACATAACGTTGTTCAAATAATTATAATGTTCAAACTACTTGTTGTAAGAATTGTCTAAGAATCAGATGTAAATTTTAAGTAAGTAACACGTTCAACAAGCAGGACTTTCATGATGAATCACAACAGTCTGATCACTAGGACTTTCACGACAACTGGTCGTAGCCAATTTTGGTGACCCAAGTGACACACTCACTGGGCTTTTAATTTTTAAAAAGTAGTCCAAAGTTTGTACTGAATAATGAAGTTCAAATTATCCAATCCTTTTGACATATGTTTGCCCTATTAAAGGACCAGTCTGTCCATGATGTATGGTTCAGTGCTATTATAGGACTGGTGTGAGTAGAAGTGAACTTTCATAGAGCCTGTATACAGGCTACCAGCCCTTAACTGATCAGGGATATATATACTCAATATTGACTCTTCAGCTTAGAGATGAACCAGCTCGCTTGTAATGTGGGCTAGCACAATCTAATCCATTTAATGTGAAAGCAGTGTCTACAGCTTTCAGGAACAATTTATTTGGGAACGCACCTTGGTAAAGCAGAAACAATTATAATTCAAATGTTACACATTATCCTGTGTTTGCATTCTAGTGGGAAAGGTATGATTAGTTTACTTTAAAATACATAAATCCTAATAATACATGTACATGATAATTGCTAATCTTTGAAGAAATATGATAAACCATTCTAATACATGTAGGTGGTCTATGTGTATTAAATGGTACAGTTATTTGCTTTACTTGTCTTGGTTCAAAGGAAACAAATATTGATATTGACAGCTTTATTTCATATCTGTTAATGTAATGAACTCAGAGCTGCCTATGAAAATGAATCAAGCAAAATCATGGAAAAAAAAATCCCTAATTAATCCTGTATACCATATATAGGTACTATAAGAATTTGTGAACCGCTTTGAGACAACCTAAGAACTAGGATGTGATAAAGCGTTATATAAGAACCTCAAATTATTATTACAGTTAGAACCCTGCGTTCGGAGAATGATGGTGCCCAATAGTAATTACCTTGTTTGTCCATTCATTTTTCATTTCTATACGATGACTTAAACTGTTTAGAATATTATCTAGTTTTGATGATATTTTTAAAGTATGTACGATGTGAAAAGACTACTACTACTTCTGAGTTTGAATTTAATGATTAAAGACCTTGAACTGAACAACATTTGCAGACAAAATTATATTGACAGAATAATGATGTCACATTATACCATAACAAAAATGACAAAAAAATTTTGGAACTGATACTTGTACGTTTCAAACTGATAAATTCCAGCAAAAAGAGAGATCAGGCTATCGGGGCAATAAATACAACTTGTTTTATCACAGTGTTGAATACAGGACCTTGTATGGCATGGCCTAAAAACTGACTGCATGGCCTAAAAACTGACTATCACTTTAGTAAGACTCAGCAGGTACATGTGTAATACAAGTTGCAGTCACACACATGTACTAACTTTAATTGCAGTGATATACCATTAATCAACATTTTCTATGATAATTTCAGAACGATGGTCCACCAAAACCACGGAACACCTCCTGGTCGGTGGACGATACAGGGGTTGACGGCAGTGATAGCCATGGCAATGTACATGGCACTGTACCAACACCAAAACGGGTACCAAAAAGACGAATTACTGTGGTTGGGCTCAATTCAGCAGAGGAAACTGCTCAACAGGAACCTAGTAAGTTAAAATATTAGGAACCTTATTATTTAAAGATATGTGGATTGATATACCATATAATATTGTAATTGGGGCTGTCACAATATATATCGGAAAATAGGTATATATTGCAAAACACGGGTATATCGTATCGTACCACAATACCGAGATGAAATATTGGTGTATCGCAATATTTTTCAAAAGCTTATTTTTATGTATCTGCTTGGTGTCTTACCTTTGCAAATTACTACAAATTTTAACAGATACGCCAATAAGAATTCAACAGGCTTTTAATAGTGGTGGGGATTAGTTCAAATTTTGTAATCGATGGTTGGTTTGACAAAAACCTTAAATTGATGCGATCCGTATATTATATATGATTAAGTCTGATAACATTCTGACAATAACGTATTATCAAATTGAGCACATCCTTCCTATGACAATATATCGGGATATGTATCGCAATGTATCAATTCTGTATTGCAATATATTGGGATACGCTCTTGGCATATTGTGACACCTCTAATTGTAATAGTAATTTAACTTTTTTTATTCAATGAAGATAATATCATATATAGGTAACTGAAACATGTTGCAGCAATGAAAATTATCACCGAAATTGGATTTCTTCTGTGCTGAAAGTTTGTGTGTTGTTTGCAGGTTCCTATTCCCAAATGCACTTGAATAAACTCAAGAAGAACCAGGGAAATCAAGGCAGATTCAATGCCAGCCCAAGTTCAGGGTTTGACCAGTCAGATTTTGAAAGAGGTTGGTATTGCGTGCGTTTGCTGATAATTCACCCCAATCCGTTCAGTAGACCAGATATTGTACAAATTAGCCCATCGATTGATTGTTTATTTGCCTTGAGGAGATATATTTTCAGTGGATGAGAAGTCAGGCTTGTTATTGTGGTTGTCTCCTGGTAATGGCCACTATTACTCTGGTTCCATCCTGACTTTCACTAATAAATTATGCATCAGGTCTACCTTCAAAGGTATAGGTGTATATATTTACATACAGGTGTATTATGTAGACGTACTAGTCTAATACCTATTCTCGTCATGGTTGGTGATTCCACCGCGGAAGCTACAGGCGCTGTATCAAAGATCGTGTTAACGGTAGTCATACAAACCTTTGTGTTTTGTAATAAGTCAGGTTTTTTGTGTATAGGTTGCAATAACAGTTCCCCATAGATGTCATATACACAGCACAGTTCATGTGTTAGAGAGATGTTTATCATTGTTTACCTGTGGTACCTTAAAAAAGTACTTGATACTAATCAATTAGCTTCCAGTATATATCTAGGTCAGCATTTGTTTTGAAGAACTTGGTATAATCGTATGTTTTGTTGATGATAATACAGCTGTGCAGGCAGGTGTTTTGCCAGGTGTTTATAGGGTCCGTTCCCCAGTTGGATTAAAAACTATGTTAACACAAATTTTCAGTCGTTATATGTGCAACATTCAAAGTATTACCATCCATGAAGGAGTATTCAAAACACTACAGATAACGAAAATTTTGTAATTGAATAAACAAAATCTCTGAAAATTGATGTGTATATTTATTGCTATATTTTTTACTGTAAGAAACAGGTAGAAGAAATCTTTTTGCTAACCACATAATGACATTGCAGGTTTTATATTTTCCCAAGCCTTTACATTTGGGAACACTGATGATATTTCCCAATTTTTTGCCAAATGCTGATAATACTGATATTTGTCCAAATTCCACTCGGGGGGCCTTTCCCCAAAATTTCTAATTCACGACTCATTTCTTAAGTCATAGTTTGTCTGTCTACCTGTGCAGGTATTTCCAGATCATTGATCGTTTTTTAAGTCATAGTTTGTCTACCTGTGCAAGTATTTCCAGATCATGGTTCATTGTTTAGAACCCTGTTGTTATATATTTCTAGTTTAGGCTTTTTGTTTTGTAGATCAGTTTAGCTGCGTAAGCCGTAAGGCATATCTTATTTCACAAGAAGATTTTGGTAGTTCTGATTTTTTTTAATTTCCAAAACATTTTGCGGGGGAAAAAAACAAATTAATTCACAATTTGCACTTGATTTAAAATTTATGAAAAATTATTGATTCATTACACAAACAATTGTTTATGACAAATGTTTCCAAACGTTGGAGTTTGTTATGTTGATAGAATGTATTACAGATGTATATATCTGTCCATCAATCACCAGTGGAGATTGTCTGTTGGTACAGACCAGTAAATAAACATGGATCCACTCTATCTGTGTTGTGATAGAAATCACTGATGTATCACAGTCAATGTAACTCAATGGGGAGTTACCAGGACAATTACCACTGCCATTTGTCGTAATGAGAATATGATTATGTTGACAACAACAGGTGTGTGGGCTAGAGCAATTAATAAGGTTGTCGTGTGTGTGTGGTACGTAGCCAGCTGACAGACATCACAATTCTGCCGCTGACTTTTACACAATTCCACTTTAGAACAGCCATTGATAAGGAAGTCCTAGAGAGAATTGATCTAAAGGGCACACCTATAGAGTTTCATTTGATGGCATCTCATCTATTTTGTTCCAAATATGAATTGGTTCTGAAGGCTATCTAAAATTGTTATTTTTGTTTTACTTGAGCAAACTTAATTATGCACACTTGATGGTTAGTTGTAATAAGGACTGCAAGAAGGTTGATGGTAATGAGCAAACAGTTGGCTGCATCAGTTTCCAATTTAACTAGAAAAGTGTAATTTTCAGTCAGAGTTACCTAATTTGATATTGATATTAAGTATTTTCATGAAACAATTTTTAAAGAAACACAATCAGCTGACAAGAAACAGCACAATTTTGAAATCCATTTCATTTGTGTTGTAACCAATAATTGTTGTAAGTTAATCTTCTAAATGGAAATATAGATGAAGAATAAAATTAGATTTCTTTTGACCAATAAGTCATGACCAGGAGAGAAGAAAAGGAAAGTTACTTTAAAAACCCCCCACTTTATTGTAACCATATGGATGTACATGTATCTTGTTTAATACCATTTTTCAATTCACTGTTTGGACAGTGTTTCTTTGTTTTTTCTTCTCCAATTTAGACGGAGCTATTTTTTGTTGAATGTTTTGATAGTAACAACTCTGTTAAAAGGGTATATTAAAATTATAGTGAACAAAATCACCACTACCGGTATTTATAATTATCAGCAAGATACATTTTTGAAAAACTGCTTGTCCTATGGACTATTGATATCACAAATTCATCATTCAAATTAGTTCATGAATAAATTTGGAAACAAGTTCTTGCTGGTTTTACTTTCATTATTATTATCATTTCATTGTCAATATTACTGTATTGACAAACTCTACCATAATCCATCAACTAGGTTAATAGATTGAATTGTTACCATAGTTCATCAACTAGGTTAATAGATTGAACAGTTACCATAATTCATCAACTACTAGGTTATAATAGATTGAACAGTTACTATAATTCATCAAGCATGTTAATAGATTGAACAGTTACCATAATTCATCAACTACTAGGTTATAATAGATTGAACAGTTACTATAATTCATCAACTAGGTTAACAGATTGAACAGTTACTATAATTCATCAACTAGTTACCATAATTCATCAAGTAGGTTAATAGATTGAACAGTTACCAGGCCATAATTCATCAAGTAGGTTAATAGATTGAACAGTTACCATAATTCATCAACTAGGTTAATAGATTGAACAGTTACCATAATTCATCAACTAGGATAATAGATTGAACAGTTACTATAATTCATCAACTAGTTACCATAATTCATCAAGTAGGTTAATAGATTGATCAGTTACTATAATTCATCAACTAGGTTAAGAGCTTGAAAAGTTACCATAATTCATCAATTAGGTTATAATAGATTGAACAGTTACCATAATTCATCAACTAGGTTATAATAGAATGAACAGTTACCATAATTCATCAACTAGATTAATAGATTCAACAGTTATGCAATGTAACAAATGAACCTGTATTTGAAGGTACATCTTATGATACAATGTATAAGATTATCCCCCATGGACGAAATCATTCATAAGTCTTGTATTTTCCTTAGGTATTCTCAATGTGTTTGATAGGTTGGGTAATATAAAATAACTTGCAGTATATCAACAAGACCTGATACAAACTGGATAATTCATTGTTAAAATTCATGAAATTCTGATTGTGGTTTCTTTATAATAAAACCTGTTTTCTTAAGCCTTTCCTGATTTCCATATCTGAGTGAAGTACTAAATAGTTTTATGAATAGTTTATTTCTTGTTAAAATTCAAGTAATTGAAAATGAAGTATGCATTTTGTACATTATAAATAGATCAATGTTATTTTTGAATGTGCTAAATATGCATAAAGATTTCTTGAACAGAGTTATCACTGTAAATGGTTTGTGTATAATAAGGTACTCTATATGTACAATACTAAGCATTAAATCCCTACTCTAAACCCTTAATATATACATATACATCAAGATTGGAATTAATTTGGATTAGAGATATAACACATCAGATAATAACTGTGAATGCTCAGTTTTAAAGTTGTAAGATCTGCTTGGTGAGGCTTGTAAAATGTCTGGCTATTCAGGGTTAAGTCAACAACAAAAGATTTACACTGGCTTTCTGGACATGTGCCTAATGTGGAATGCATAGTAGGACCTGTAGGCAGATTTAGGGTCATATATTGTAAACGAAACAAATTCTATTATTGGAACAAAAGCTGATTTACCAATCAATGTCATTCAACATATCATCTCCAGTTTCTAATGTTAAATGTTGTTTTGACACCTGATATTAAGATTTTTTGTGATCATTGCTTAGATATTTCTAACAAAGCTAGCATTGGTTTTGATCAGCTTTTGAAAATTTAATATGTTTTGATAATTTACATAGAAGCAAGCATAGTTTAGTAGATGTTATAAATGCTCTAGATGTTGAGTTATTTATCCAAACTGATGGGAAGCTGCGGATGTCTTTGAGTTAATTAGTGAGAAATGTGAATCCAGTCTTATCCACGTTTTCCACTGGTCTGTCTGTTTTATAAGCAGTGCTATATTATTTTCTGAAAAAAATGTGTTTACATGTCTCGCATTAGGAAGAATTATTGATTTTATAAGACACCAACCGCTGATCATGCCCTAATGAAGTATGCCGTAGAATCCATTGGTAATTTTAGGTCTGTGACACATTCCAACAGCTGTGATGAAAGCTATCGGCATACAAAAGCACCAACTCACCCCTTTCTTTCCTCAGTGTGACCATAGTGTACACGCAATAAATATTGATTCAGCATACAGACAAATTGTCTGAGTAGAAAAAACATAATAATTGTATGTGTTCAATGCAAAACTCAATATGAAACAAAAATAAGAAATGTTTATAATAATTGTACTGATTTTTGAAAGAAATAATTGTCAATGAATTTCAATATTCATAAATTGAAAGAGTATTTTTGCTTTGTTGCTAACCAAGCTTTCAACAATCTCTCCTTAATGTATGCATGATCTCCAGCAGGAAGCGCTCAATTTCACCTTTATCCATTGGCTGAATCTTATCATTATTCGCAGTTTTCTATAACATGTATATGACTAGGGCTCACATCCTTATGACACCAACTAGGAGATAGTTAGGGCCATAAGTTACAAACAGTCAGTCCATAGATTAAGATATCATTGTGGTTTTGCTTGCTGAAGATTTTCCCTTTGTATGTTTTGATGTATAGTACGGAAAAGGCACTGTAATTATTACCGAGTGTACACACCACAAGGATTCGCTTCAAGCTTAAGTGTTTGAAAATTAAAAAATGTTTTCCTAAAATGTGTCACATAAATTCTGGTCAGAAGCTGCTGAAAAGGGAAAGTTTGAGTTGCTAGGTTAATTCATTGCTTTGTTTCTAGTATCCGTCAAAGGGAAGACCGAACAAATCTCTGTAGATAGGTTTCTTTCAAAGAATCAATCACTTACTTTTCTTTGCTATTCAGCTCATTGCAATTGTCGTAAATAAAGAATTTTACCTGTGCAGACATGTTTGCAACTAACTATTTCCCTTTCATTAGTGTTCTTTTGATAACATTTTATTCATAATGAAGTTTATAATGCAATATGCGTTAGGCTACATCAGGTATTGTCAGTTTTTTAAGGAAAAAAATAATTTAAATGGTACAATTTGCCCTTCTGCAATACCTTGCTTAATAGCTTTAGCTCCTGTGTCCAATACAAATTGAAAAGACACTTATATAAAATGTATGAAACTGGTTGAGATATTGTCAATTATGAAAGCAGAAGATGCAGGTTTATAAAATGTGATAAGGACTACAGGAAATATAAGCGACCATAAGAATGTCTTAAGAAAGCCATGGCACTTCAATTATCAATGTTACTTTTTTTTTTTTTAATTGAATTCAAACTGATACGCTAAAGTAAAAGAACAGAAATGTAGACGTCAAGAAGAATATACCTATAGTTATCTAATCGAAGTCTGAATACGAGTCTCATGAAGATAGGATCACATTCTATTTGTATGTAAAAACTTGTGTGTGTTGACTAAATACAGTTCAATTGTTGAGTCAATAGAGGGAGAGCAGACCAGACTGTTTATGGTTACAGCCTATGGGTGTAATGTTGTGCTCTCCCACTCCTGATTATCATGGTTCCCATGTAATAAAGGGGAGGTAATGGTGTCACATTTACAGTAGAGTCTCCTTTTAAGATGATTTGTGAGTATATGGCATGGGGGGCGAACTGGTGAAATGAATTTCGCAAACATTTGGAGTGTTCTTGAAGGTTTTTAAGTGGACTTGGCGGAAAGAAGTTTAAATTGTTGTAGTATCTTTTGTGTTGTGTAATGAGGCCTTGGTTTAAGGTGTGACAATGTTATAGAAAAGGTAGAATTTAATAACTTTTTATGCCCTACCTCATCATGAAGTAATGGATAGAATTTTATAAATGACAAAGATATTAGCCTGCATGGGCTATATTTCATGATCACCTGGTCATATTTTACTGTGAACGTGCATTACTTCATCACCTCCTAGTATATTGTATTAAAAACAATTTTATAAATGACATCGACATTGTTGTCATGTGCGGGTTATATTTTACCTGGAGCTTAATGAAGTGAAATGTGTTTGGTATGTAGCTTAGGTAACGGTAGTACGACAGAGGTTTACTCATTGAGACTGTTATATCGGTGAGTGGCCATACTCCGTCCATTGACTTTGGTAACACAGGGTTTGTGTATTTATCCTGATGAATTTGATGTGTTGATAAGGCCGTGTGTATAAACAGGGTACAAACAATGCGACAACACACAGGTGACAGTGACAACAACACACTGTAGGTCTGCCACAAAACTATTTCCTCTTATTGAATTTGACATGTTCAGGTCTAAGATTTATCTCAAATTTGACACATGCTGGTGTTGGAAAGTAAACCTGACCCTGTTTGATCTTCACTGGGGGAGGGTAATGTCGGCCAGCACTTATCTCATTCATCTGCTCTATAGACCATCACGAAACAGGCTACGGTTTTCAATAAACTTAACACTTACGGACAGGTTTGAAGGTTTGCCCAAGTGATTTGCTTGGGGTTTTATCTCACTAGATCCACTTTGGTATAGGTTTTAAAATAATTTACAGAATACTTTAATGAATTCATCAATTGATTGTTTGAAAATGATAGATAGGGTCTCATTTGATGGTTACTGTATGATTATGGTGCTCGACTCTTTAGCTAGATACGCATACACAAAAAGCTCTAATAATTATAGTCCGCTCTAGTTCTTGTTCTCGTACAACAGCAATAAATCACTTTCTTTGAATTTATAATTAATGCACGAGTACGCATGACTGAGTGCAGGTAGATCACTACTGTATCTCCCTAACTAGGTAGGAGTCATGTGACCTGTCCCTGGGGTATGCAACAACGCCATCAGATCAATGCTGGGTTATAGGGCGGTCACTTGTGGCTAGCGCTCGATCACAAGTATGGCTGTACATGTGAGGTTTGGCTGTATGCGGCAGAATAAATATCTAAAAGAATGATGTCACAGATTAATCCTTTAGTGAGACTTGGATATGTTTAAAGTGTTGTAAACAAAGTTGATCTAGTTATTATGACTGGGAGTTTGTGTCACCGGATTTTATTTCGTTTTCTCCCGCTAATTGTAAGATGACTGTTGGTGTTGTTGCTGTAACAGTTATGGGATTGACCTGTTCTGTAAATTCCAGTACTTCAGGTAATGTCTTTTACGATTGGAATATTGAAATTATTCAATAAGTCTGCCTTTTTTTTTGAGGATGTTTTACCTTGGGGGAAGATCATCATATTTGTTGAAGAAATTTTGGCGGATTAAAAAAATATCAAGATTTATTGAAAGTGGGATGTTGATTTCATTTATTACGATTTCATTACAGTCTTGTCCACAGATCATCTATTTTCATTCTATTGTTGACAAAGTCTTGTTAATCTTATTCTGAAGATTTGAAAACTTGTTTCACTATATATACCTACAATATTTTTATGAAGAAATCATGTTGAATGTCTTTTAGATTGGTAATTTTATTACGATGTTTGCATTTGTTTGAAAACCTGTTTAAATTTACCTACATTCTTGTTACTTCTGAATAAAATCATGTTGAATATAAAAAAAAATCTGACTATAACCATTTGTGCTAGTTCATGGCTGCTATTTAATTAAATAAGAACATTTTTTTTGCATCATTTAAGGCACGTTTATGTTATAATATTAAGATGGAAAAATCTTTGTTACTTCAATGTTGCATGGTATAACACTATAAATCACCTTAAACTTTCAGAAGAATGACTACAAGGGTGCATTTTAATAGCCATGCAGTCATTACAGAAGCATGATTTTCATCCAGTGACATTTTGTTTTATTTTGTATTCGACACATTATGCAGTGCCAAATTGTCCATTAAGATAGTATCGTACACATAACCATTGGTATAAGAGGAACATTAACACATGGTGACGGACCGCTGTGGTACCGAAACTGTCTAATGTCTGTTAAGTAGTCCTCTTGGTAATTTTACACTGCCCAGATCTAGACTACACCTTAATAGCGAGTACCAGTATCTACAGTCATCTATAATTAAACTGTTTCCGATTGAGGAGAAGTACTAGGGGAATACCTGGCTAGAGGGATGGTCATATTGTCATGCATATTTTATGAGACGATCTGGCCATGGATCGGACAAATTTCACATTGTTTTCCTACAGTGATTATCGGACACTGCTCAGTTACGTCCAGGGATTGTTGTCCTACAGTGATTATAGGACACTGGTCAGTTATGTCCAGTGGTTATTTATAATATCGGGTTGTCCTGGTCGGTTTTCATTGGTAACGCCAGCAGTCAGAGGAATCATGGGAACACCTTATCACATCCATTATTCTCATACAACCCAATTATTTGTCATCAAAAACTAGACCAAGTCACTTGAGAAAAGGAGGTCGTTTTGCCTTTTAATTTGTGATATTATTGTTAGACTGACTGCTTTATAAGACTCATAATAGCTAGGTGTAGAATATGTGCTTTCACCTTACATTCATTTGAAATAGATTTAAAATTGTTCCTTAAAAAATTGTGAATTGGATTTAAGACGTTTGGTTAATAGGGAAATTCCATAGTCTGGAAATTATGATGCCTTCTTAGGGAAATGACATTAACACTAGGTGCGTTTTTGTTGTGTGTCTTTAAAGTAAATATCAATCCTGTTCCATGCACTTGTACCTGTACATAAATTACACTTTCCAGAACCACCACCAGTTCCTGAGAAGGTTAAATCTAGTACAGTAAAAGCAACTCACAGTCCAACTGTCCCCAAAACCTGTAAGCATTATAAAGGTTCCTGTTGTGTTTTTTTGCCTTCTGTTAATTAGTTTTCCAAAACTTACCCCAGAATTAATATTTCTGATTAGAAAATGAGGTTGTTTTCATTAATAAGTGCTGTGTTGTATTTAACTTTCTATTTAATACATGTACTACCTGATACAGGCTTGTTATTTGTACTTTTGTCATGAAAAGAACATGATGAAATAATATGTCATTACATGCATGTTGTAATACTTATGGAGAAACCAGCAGAAAAAAATTCAATTCAGGCTTCATAATACATTTTAAATTCAGATTTTAATCAAACCTATAGGTATTAAAAAAGTTGTGTGCTACATAAGTGCTTCCCTCCAGTATTGTATATATAAAAGTTGTTTTAGGTTAATTCCTGTCAAACGGCTCAACTGTTTTTTTGTGAAAAACTGTTGTATGGGTCATTTACAGTAAATACGTCACTCAGGAGTCTTGGATAGAATTTTAGAAAGAATTGGCACCATTTTTTGATATATAAGAAGACGTTAATTGTCATATTAACACTTGCCTGTTCAGGAGGTATAAAACCAGTTTAAATGAATTGATCATATCAACTGGCAGCATATATAAATCACTTTCCTGCAGTTGTCATAATGACAGTTACAAAGAAATGGTCGTAGGTGACAATATAAAGGGTTTTTGTTCACTTTTTCATTTTCCTCTATCTCGGATTATATAGGCTCATTGATATAGAGTTGCACAAATAGATTTTTTATCTCTTCGTTTTATATTGTATTGAAAAGTTTTAAAGAATTGAGTTATTGTCTGATGAGTTCAATTGGTCAGGGACAATTTATAAAAGAGGACAGGTTATGGTAATCTTATATTCTCCACAACGAATGAGTATATCAAATGAACTTTCTATGCAGACCACCATTTTTTTATTTGAAATTATAATTCATATGTGATTATGATAGTGAACGTTCCATGAGATGACGCATCAAGACGGTCCTGGATTTGGAATTATTTAGAATCAGATTCTGTTTATTTTTCCTAGGGTGCTTGCCCCATATAAAATGGCATCAATATGAAAAAGTGTTCTCACCGACACAGCTGTGCTTTTTATCAGAAAGGAAGAAGTTACTATTTGTTTTCATGTCCCTTTACTTCGTTATATTTTCTCCAGAAAAATTCTATGCAGTCCTAAAATTTCCTTTAATGCGTCAAAGCCATAAGTAAACTAATTTTATAAACTGTCAGCACCTGTTTAAAGCATCAGGTTTGTATGGAATGTGGAAATCATAAAGCGCTAATTGTTGATTCCCTTGTCTGCTGTGATTGCAGGAGTCAATTTACACACTTTTCTAATTTGATCAATCATGAATTTTGACCATTAAGAGTGATGTTCTGTTTCAATCCTGTTTTTTCACCAGACGTGACTGCCTCACCAATTTCTCCCATTGAAGTGGACTACTGGAGAGGTACAAGTAGTAGTATACAAAGCATCCACTGTTGTATTTTACAAACTTTTTATCGTTCTTTCCATTTTAGCAACATTGGATGTGACATGTCATGATTGTTCTATATGTGTATACACTTCTATGAAAATATGTGATGTATGCTGCATGTACTTTCCAAATTATTACAGATATTCTATTTGTCACAATAAAATATGTCAGAATGAGATACTTATTTTTTCCCCTATTTCTTCAATTCTTCAGTCTTCTAGTGGACTGTACGTGTTTGGTATTCTATTCTCGGGCTAATCTGGGTCTGTTACTTGCTTCCTGTGCACCAAAATTTGATTTTAATGGCAGTGCCAGGATTAGAAAAGTCAATGAAAACATTAATAATTGAAGAAATATGATTGCTGCATTATTGACTTGTGTCATATACTATTGTCACCATCAAGTTCCAAACTTTGTATGCGAGTACGTCTTTGGATGGCAGAGTGTGGCATAGTGAAATTTGGTCTTCTGTCCCGGGCCACTTTATAAAGATTTGAGGCCCTTTGGTCATTTTGGGTAGGCCATATCTCATATACTGTACATGGTGTCGCCTACAATTGCCAATTTCGTATTTGGGTATTTATTTGGATAGTGGAGTGTCATATACACACTGCAATTGGGTCTGGTGAGCATGCCCCACTATATAAAATTATGGCCCATTGTTCATTTTTGATGTCCTGAAATTAAGGGACTATGCATTGTCAAGTTTTTTTCCCTACAAACAGAATTTTAAGACTTTTCTACTATTCTTTTAATGTTGTGAACTTGCATGCTTGTTATGAAATTTTTGATGTTTTGATAATTATAACATTGTTTGATCTTGCCATCTTTATTGGCTGTTTGATGTAGTCTGTCCTCATACTAACAGACATTTGCTTGATCTATTTAACTTCAGCTGCTTGTGAACATTAAAATTTCGTGAACGAAGAAAGAGCAAATGTTGACCATCAATGAATATGATAATGCTTCATGATACAAGGTGTCAATAAGAAAACAGTAAAGCAAATTATTTGGAAACATGAGAGCTACTACATAGATAACTTGTTTTAATACACATTATTATATGGTTAGATCATGTTCTGATGTCCAAGTTAAATGAACCAATTTAGAGATGAAAGATTGTGGTCGAGATATCAGTTAAAATCTTACAAAAATCATGCCATGGTAATTATAGTCACTGTCATGATCCTGGGGCAGAGAGGTGATCAAGAACTGTTACTGATTTATGAAAAGTTAAGTCTGTATCATAAAACTTAACCTAAATTGAAAATGTGTCTTTCCAGCCAATGATGAGTCTCCCATCCCCCTCAAACCAACATTGGCCCGTTCTGCCACAAAGCGCAGTACCAAGAAGGTGCCACCAATATCCACCGCTCAGTCGGACAAGTTCGCCTCCATGCCCAAAGAAGATGACAGTGACAGTGCATACGCTGCTTCCTTGGAGAGCAACATGGAAAAGGAGTCGCACCAAGAGGTGAGCATGCCGTTGGTCTGTAAAGTAGGTCTGCAGAAGGTCAAAGGTTGCACTTGTTTTAATGGCCAATTTTGTATAGTGAATTGGTGGTAGTCAACTTCGTTGTATTGGTGTAGATGCATGGATATTCGTTTACATCTTTGTCTGTTTGCTTACACACTCTTTTATCAAGTGTAAGGCACTGCATCCATCATTTCCATCTGAGGGTAACTATGGCAATGCTAAATGTTGAAAAAGAGACAAATGTTAGCTATATGTACAGCTGTCAAGTGTTGGGCAGTCTAGATTTAAACACATTTATTGTCGGATAGTAAGTTCAGAAGAAAAGAGTTGTGTGCCATTTCTTTTAGAAACTTCAGGTCAATGATTTCCACATTTAACATTTTATCATCAAAATGTATTCAGTTTCATGTTCATGTTAATCCTAGTAGTTATCTGCTTCCCGATATATCTACATCTGATTTACTTTTAGATGCAAAGACCAATGTAGCCTGCTTTTAATACATGGTAATGAGTATGATATACATTTTGTATATTGGTTAATTGGGAATCTGATTGTTAATTTCCCTTTTCCTGATCAAGGTGTATTTAGGCATGTCAGTTTAGTAATGGAGTTCCTTTGTAACAGGATATTGGTCAGTTGACCATTGTTTGTATCTAGTATGTAAGGTTCTTATTACAATAGTGGTTATATACATGGGTATGTAGTTGAACAAACTTCCTAGTTGAAAGGAAATCAAAAGGATTTATTTTGAGTATGTTAACTAATAACAGGTTCCAGCATTGGAAAATGGAAAACAGAATTATAAATTCAGCAAATTTAACTGTGATATATCGTTTTTGCATCAATTAGACTAGAGTACTTTTAGTTTATGTGTTCTTTCATCTGTTAAGTGCTATGGGCTATCTAACAGATTCTTTATGTAGGGATTAATGTGTAGATATATATGTGCAGCCCATTAGACTAATTGAGGTGTTAAATAACAGGTGTCTGCTCATGATCATGCCCCCCATATAAGATGGTCTTGTCTGAACACATGCCTCACCTAAACTGTATTTTAGCAAACAGTCCCCTGCCTGTAACTTCTATTGTTGAAAAGCTGGTCTTTTGAAACCTAAGAAAATAAAGCCCTTTAATTTTGACCATTGTGTAAACACGTTAATGTTGAACACCATCCATTGAGTGCCATTTGGTGGCTTTTACTGACAGGTGTTCTTTGGACTTCATTCATAGTATTGAGTATCTCCATTCAAAACTTGGAAGGATAAAATGTATGCCATTAAGTTTGTAGTGGTCAATACTCTTTTCAACACCTTAAGCTCTACACATTTGAGACATAATTGGATGGCAGTTACAAATTTGGCCCATGGAAAGATTTATCATCCGTCAAAATCGTTTTGTTGTCAATGTTTTTATTGTCCTTTCTGTCTGAAGCTTGATCTTCATCTTTGTATATATATATATATAATCAGAATATCCACCTTACTTTATTTCTTGCACAAACTTTTTTATTACAGGATTTTATTGATTGAACAATTCTCGAAAAAAAATCTTCAAAAAGCAGAGGAGATAATCCTTAGTCTCCTATCCATTGGAAGGTGATCTTGAATCCTACAAAGGCCCCTTTCTTCTGGGCTGTGTTAGACTATATGAAATAACTTCTATTTGTTTTCCTTCAAGGGAAATTTTCCACTAAATTGTGAGTTGATGCCTTTTTGTTGACAGATGATGAAATACCTCAACAGTATCCGCAATGGTTCCAAGGTTGGTTTGAATGCACTCCCGCATGTTATTCAACTTTCAATTTTTGGGTTTATTTTCACTTCCAGAAATGTCCCTTATTTATGTTCTTATTTGTATTAACAAACTTTCATTAACAATACCTTGTGCTGTCTTATTTTTTGGTGAGATATCTATGAAAAAGTGTGATTAATTTATAAATGAACTGTTTTAGTGTGATGTGAATTATTAACCTTGTTGCATTAATTACATGTTTTAAGACTCATCTTTCTCCTTGTATAAATAACTAGCCCAATTTTCATGAAGATTTTGTTAAAGTAGATTTGTTAAGAGACATATTCCCCGTGTATATGCTGAAGAAGTTTTAACGTTTTACATACTAAGATACCCTTTATACAGTACATATCATTTCAACTCAAGGCATATGGCGATTTCTTAAAATACCCCGGAAAATTCAAGCTTAAACATACGTTACAAAAATTCTGGTTTTTAAGTGATCTGATCCAATAGTATACAGTATGCCGCCTCGGGAAGTAGTTTTTCACCTCGGGGGACCATAAATGTGCTATTTCCCGAATTACCCATTCTATAACTGTTTTATTATAACAAAAATTATTAAAGGCAATTTAACAAATGAATTCTTTTATTCATTTCCTTTTACAATATCAAAGAGAAAAAAATACAAATGAAAATACTGTATGCATCGTCGTTGATGATATCTTCATTTCTAGCATTCAAGAAGTGTTTTTATAGACTGTATCTCATAGTCACCATTGTTTTCCTACCATATCAAGTCCCATCCACTTTTTTAAGTTCTGCATAAAACTTGTGTGGACACACGTTCACCTCCTCTGAACTTGCTTGACCCTAATCGTCAACGCTTCGGCATTCCGTTCTGTTAAATAAGTTGGAAGTGAATTCACTGCAGTCTATATAACAGCTGTTGTATTTAAGCTACGTTTAGCGTCAAAAATCTGCTGTAACTACTCTTTACAACAACAAAACGGCCGTCATTGGTGGCCATTTTTACTGTTGTCATTTGGTTCTGAAAATGTGACGTCACGAGCGCCACGGAGAAGGCCCCGCCTACCAATGTTTTCATTGGTTGAAATCTTATAAGCTCCGCCTACAAATATTCATGAGGGAGACTCCTCTTTCTGGCACGGAGTAGTCCTTTTTTGCAGGGAGTAGTCATAATTTGGGGAGGGATTAGCTCTCAGATGGAGAGATGTAAGTGATTTAAGGGAAATAGCAGATTTTATCGTATTGTTTTTATCAAGGGAAAACTCAGTAGAGGTATAATAATGAAGGATATTTACCACTCAGCGTAGATAGTATTTATGGAAGAGGTCATATGTCCTGAGTGGATTTTTAGGTCACCTGAGCTTTAGCTCAAGTGACCTATTGCTATCCGTTTTCGTCCGTCGTCGTCCGTCGTCCGTCGTCCGTCGTCCGTTAACATTTTACATTTCAAACTTAAAGTCAAGTTCTGCTGGGCCGATTGAACTGAAAGTTGGTAGGAATGATCGCCTCATGGTCCTGACAAAGTGTTGTTATTTTTCGGGTCGATCAGAAATCCAATATGGCCGCCACGGCCGCCATTTTGAAAACCTATTTCAAACTTAAAGTCAAGTTCTGCTGGACCGATTGAACTGAAAGTTGGTAGGAATGATCGCCTCATGGTCCTGACAAAGTGTTGTTATTTTTCGGGTCGATCAGAAATCCAATATGGCC